AACTGAAGAAACAATAACATAAAGATAGAAAAACCACTTCTCAATCACTTTAAACGGAAAAATATGAATCATACTCAATCTTCTGCTGGTGTTATAGTGCAAACACCACTATTAGTCCAGAAAAACTCTACTATTAAAAAAAATGAGAAAATGCCTGCAAGGTTTTCTTAAAAAATATTTTATCCTTAAGTAAATGTAGAAAATTAAATAGGTACTACAAAAAAGTATTTATTTGGAAAAAGTATTTTGAAAATACGTATTTTACGTATTTTAATTTTAAATACTTTTAAAAAACTATTTTGCACATGTCTACGTATATCCTTTGGTAAATAATGATTATATAGAAAATTAATTTTTTCTCATTCAATAAAAAGAAGTCACTTCTATGTTCGCAAACGGTTAATTTAGAAATTCGAAAAAGGTTGTTAAAGATGTATGTTTGGAGCACGACGCTGTACGGGTGCGAAACATGGACAGTGGGCGGGGCGGAAAAGAAAAGGTTAGAAGCGTTCCAAATGTGGTGTTACAGAAGAATGATGTGAATATCGTGGATAGAGAAGGATAGAAATGAAGAGGTATTAGAAAAAGTAAGAGACCAGAGGACTCTATGGAAGTTAATAAGAAATAGGCGAGATAGGTTGGTAGGACACCTTCTCAGGCATGAAGGTCTAGTCAGAGACATATTAGAGGCAGAAACGGAAGTTAAGAGGGGTAGAGGTAGACCTAGATTCTAGTTTTAAAAAAATGCGAAGATTAGCTCAGGATAGGAAAGGGTGGAGGTACTTGTCCAACCAGTCTTAGGACTGATGACCTCATGATGATGATGAAAAGGTAAGTAGGTATATTACGTAATAAATATACGAAAAAATAGTGTAATGACATATGCACATTATAGTAGTATAACAATGTAAAGCATTTTGAGTGGGATCAATCCTGACTGATATTGTAAATACCAATGTTAGTTTGTTTGCTATAAGTCAATTTTAACAAAAAAAAATGATAATAAGATGAAGAAGAGGAAAAAATGGATAACAAAGGAAATTGTCAAATCTTGTATAAATAAAGAAAAATGATATCTACGCTTGAAAAAGGAAGAAAATAATGAAGAACTTAAAGTAAATTATAAAAAAACTGTAAAACAACTAAACAAAACACTTGCCCATGCAAAGTATCTATATGAAAAACTAGAATTCCAAAACGCAAATAATAACAATAGAAAGCTGTTTAAGAACTTTTCAACTCATTTTACGATAAAAACAGTATATACAAAATGAAACTAGGGACAATTGCCTACAATTTTTGTATGTACCTTTTTTCCATAAAGTCAATAGTTTTGGCGTACGAGCGCCGCAAAGTGTACTCCAACGCGTGTTTTGGTAGATCTCAATAGAAATATTTGGTCTGAGTCATCAGTAGAGTTCGGAATATATGCACTAAAAAATAGCAAATATATTCATGTAAATATGCTTTCAAAATCGTCACAATATGCATTTAAATTTTAAATAAAACACAAAGAAATTCTGTTAACACTTGTATTTGTTTAAATTACAATAGCATAAAACCAAAACAAAAAAAACAACGAACTTTGTCTTCAGACATACTATAACAATATAAAACTAAATGTTTTTCTAAATCATCCATATTAAAATTATGTCGTCTATTTGATAAAAAATGTGGGGATACCACGTTAAAAATAANTGTAAAATGCTCATTTTCAATAAACGAGGAATGGAAAAAAACGAAGCGTCAGCTAAATTTGCAATGTCAAATTATAAAATCGATTAATAAAGCTATTACTGCAAATAGAAAATAATTTTTACTCTAAATGGAGTAGAATAACGATAGCGCCAACTTCGCATAACAAAAATCTCGTTTATAGATGATGTCAACAGCATATTTATTAATATGAAAATTCATTTGTCGAACTTTTTACCCATTGCAAACTACCTAAGGTTAATGAGCGAAAATTGTTGCTGTTGTCACACACTCGCCGGGAATGGAACCCGGACCTTTGGCTTTACGCACCAATGCTCTGACCACTAAGCTACAAGTGATGAAAACAGCGACAACGACAGTGGTCATAGCATTGGTACGTAAAGCCAAAGGTCCCGGGTTCAATTCCTGGCGAGGGTATAACAACAATAAAGGTGGAAACACATTATTAAAAAGCGACGTGACGCAACGTGTCGACACCCTATATGCACCGTGCACATTACCAACACGCGACTCCACGACATACTACAAATTTCTGAATAGTTAGCTAACAGCAGTGGAAGTGTATGGTTATTTACTATGGATTTAATAAATAACGAGTTAGATGAAGACTTTGAAGAAGATTTGATGCAAATTTTGGGTACATATATGATACTTAAACGACTCAAGAAAAAGAGAATTACTAAGCGGTACTGGGTACATGAAATAAATCAAAAGAGAAGTATGTGTGTATGAAAAATAATATTAAATTGGCATAAATTCCGTTTGACAGTTTGAAGAATAGGGATGAGGTCAAAGAATGCACATATGCTTTGTGACAGTTCTCGAACGCGTGGCGTTGGGTGTTGTCTAGAAACATACCGCATTCGCCGCGTCGAATGGCGTGTTTACCCCCACCGTGGGCAACACACCGACCTGGAACGTCTGGATCAGGTGGCGTGTGCACGCATGGCGTCGCGTCGGGTGTTCATAGTGTGATTCTGGTCTATAGAAAACAATACATTTGATTCGACTCAACACGCATCGCGTTTCATCGGGTCGCTTCGCGTTTTAATAATGTGTTTCCGCCTTTATCCGTGCGAACTGCATGGGTTAATTCGCTGACCATTACATAGTCCAAGCCTTCTTAAACTATGGGTCGCGACCCCAAATGGGGTCGCGTAGCAAAATTCTGGGGTCGCGAGAGATTTTAATGTATATTGTTACCTAATAAATAAACCATCAAAAAATATTTATTTATCTTTCTTTTATATTTATATGGGGTCGCCAGGAAACTCGCAATCATAAATGGGGTCGTGAATGAATAAAGTTTAAGAAGCCCTGACATATTTTTCACATATTATTATCAACATAAAAATCTTAGTATTTTGACCAACCAAGACAGTAATGTCTTGCTACATAATACAAATTATTAATAACTGGTACAAATACTATGAAATTGAAATATCTAACATTACTGTGTGGCAGACGTGATTCTATCTAATACTGAAAAAAAAAGTATTTTCGCCGCCCCCACATTTGCCTCCCAGAGGCCCACGGCCCCTTCACCCCTTCCAACGCTACACCACTGGTACTCCATGTAAAATTTTGTTGATTTGGAGCATACCGTTTTGTAAAAGTGCATTTTACGGATTTTTCGCAGAACAGCTGTTCTGCCATTGCGTTATTGACCATGACCTACTATTAAGAATGTATAATACCAATTGCAAGGTAATTAATATCCGGTGTGCCAATAAGTTGATAATTGCGCAAAATAATTTGCAATAACCTATTAGAACGTCCTTTAAAAAGCGAAAATGGCAAAATTGTTATATAAAAAAGTAACAGCGAATGTTGTTTTGTAATTAAACTACTAAATAATGAGTAGCTAACGTACTAAATTCGTATCTCGACAAAACATGTTGTCCAGGCAATATGGGCGAATGAGTGGGAAAAATTATTCGGATTAAATTTTTTTACGCCGTTTTGTTCGGAAGATTTTCCTGAATACAATGATATAGGTTGCCAGCAGGTAACCCGGTTAGGTATTGTTTAAATCACGATTGTTTAAACAAATTTATCCCTCGTCTATCGATAAAAATAATTTAATTTTATTCGCATTCCACAGTGGCGTAGTGTGAATTTCTGCCACCCGGGGCGAAGCCTAAATTTGCCGCCCTTTCTGTTTTTACAATTATGTAAGATGTTAGGTTAGGTTTTGCATTCGGAATGGTTTCACATAACTTATTTCATTTATATACATAATTCAGAATAGCAAGAGGATTTTGAAGATTCATTTCAGGATTTATAAAGAATTGTAAAAATTTCGGTTCTTCAAATAAATTATACCGGATCTTCAGTATTTTTAATATCGTATTCTTTTCGAATTTTCTCAATGAGTTTCAATCATTCAGGATTTTGCTTCATTTTGCTGGTGGCATTTACGAAATTTACCATAATATGTACGCTCTTAAATTAATACAGTGAATATTGACTGACTCTCACAGTAAAACAGTAAAAATCTACTGAGTCAGTCAGTAATTTTTAAAAGTACTGAAAACAATTGTAACTGTTATAATGATTAGATTAGAAAATTCGTTTCTATGCTTAATACAAATTAATTAAAAATAAGTACGATTTAGTAATAAATGAATAAATAAATAATTTTAATNGTTTTTGGCATGCGTAGGGGGACTTCCCCGTTTTATTACGCGAAAGTGCCAAAGTGCGTGTCCATTGACGGCTCCAGTTGGCACGGAAGAAGAACGTTCACGCCAACTGGGGTGCCCTCCAATGTTTACAATACCGTCCGTGTAAAACCAGTGCCAGCCAGCGAGGTTTCGCACACCCAACTCACTCACTCATTCGCTTATTAGCCCCACAAATCGTTTTTGGATTCTACCTCAATCTCACACCTTTTCATTTCAATCCCGACACAGTCTCAATCAGGGACGACTTTTAAAGTGTTCTTAAAAAGCGGCTTTAGAGGTGCATAAAAACGTTCTGCACACAACTAAATGTGTTAATGAGTTAATGTAGGTCGTCTGTAGAAATCAAAGAAGCTGTCACAAAAAAAAGAATTACAACACCAAAATGTAAAAGAAAATTACATAAATTACTATTCAAACAGGACATATCTATCGTGTTTTTTGCTATTTCCCACTACTTCTAATGAATTGTAAAATTTCAATAATGTAGTGCAACAATTCGACTGCTTCGACTTCTTCGTACAGGGATTTTAATGATTCGTTTTTTATTGGGTAGCTTATTTCTCAAAGGTGATACCATTTAAATCTGAAGAGGGGTGAAAAACTGTTTACTTTATGTTTGTGCGTATTTATCTCGATTGTTACATGTCACTATATTTAAATTATTGTTTTTCCACTAATGTGAACACTAATTTCAAATAGTAACAACAATAATACAATATTTTATCGCATTACAAATACCAAAACATGCACTGTCTGAGACGTTTACATGTAACTTTCTATAATATTGTTAAATTAGATTTTGTATAAATACCTATAGGGTAGTAATAATCTTTGAGTTAAATTTCAATTAAACACAAAATAATTTAATGTTTTAAATAATTACATTTATTAATCACATTTGTCACAGAATTTGTCCAAAAAATTACCTATTATAGAATTATACTATCCCTTATATGTACCTACAAAACCATAAAAAGTATAACGCATCAGCGTGTCATAATTGATAAAAAATACAACGTGTGATTATACAACACGCTACTGAAGTGAAACTTCCTCAAACACACAAACATACCGGGATAGGGGTTAAGGAATTAGTTTAATGGTATTATTTGTACATTATGAATTTAAATTTTACACTGTACATGCCTAAGTGAAACTTCCTCAAACACACAAACATACCGGGACAGGGGTTAAGGAATTGGTTTAATGGTATTATTTGTACACTATGAATTTAAATTTTACACTATACATGCCGGAGTTTCCTGTAACGAACGTTGCATTGAAGCGCGCTCGCGGCTCAAGCGATCCCTACTACGAACTCGACTACGTCACCGAGTAGAGGGGGGACATCCGTTGCATGATTTCGTTAGATAGCAGCTCGCATGAAACGAATATACCCTACCGTGCGTAAAGAAGTTTCACTTCAAAAATTATTCCGACCAAAAGTTGTTTTTGGTATTTGTTTAAACAATTGTGATTTAAACAATATCCGACCGGGTTACCGCCTGGCAACCTATATTGTATGTATTCGGGAGAATCTTCCGAACAAAATTACGTAAAAAAATTTTATCTGTATAATTTTTCCCACTCACCCGCCCATATTACCTTGACTAATACCAACGGCAAAACATGCAACTTTATTTTTCGACATTTTGCGACAAAACGTACTAGTTCTACCTGACAAAACCCATCCATTAATAAAGGTAAATATGGTTTAAAAAGATCACTGATTAGCAATCAAATGAATAACGTAATAGTCTATTAACAAAAACACAGCCGTCTCTACTTACAAGCCATGCTGAAGGTTTACTTGGCAACACTGTGGGAGTCCCAGGATTTCCCAGTTAATGAGAGTTACAACTAATACACTGGTTGTGGTGTGTTTTTTCGTTGTTCTATAATATTTTATTTGTAGCGGAAATATCGTGCAGTAAATGTGCAATAAGGATGATTATAGTGTGTTATAGTGATTAATACCTTTGGATGCAGTTTTTAATTGCAGAACTATTATGTGAAAGAAGTGAAAATGTTTTAGGTCAGATTGTGTGTTTTAGTTGTAAATTTTCTTGTTTATTTCTTAACAAAATGCCTCTCGTCGTTGTGTTCCCAGTTGCAATTCAAATTATAAATCATCTTTAAAATGTAAGTACAAGTATGTCTATATTTTTATTCCCAAAAAAATGATGAAATGCGAAAAAAATGCATAAGTACTATACCTCGCAAAGATTGGACTCCATGAAAATATTCTGGAGTTTACATACATCACTTTAACGAAAGTGACATTATAAAAACAGTAAAAAAAATNGCATTCAGCTACCGAATGGTATCGATTTTTAAAACCAAGAGAAGCACAAAACGAACATGGTTTCCGTTGGGATTCATTTTTCGGCTGGGACTCAAGTCTTTTGTTCAACATAGCTGTATGCGTATCGTTCAACCTTGGTCTGGAAGGGTTCTCTGTTTTTTTTCTCTGGAATGTGCCTTCCAATTTTCGGAGTTCTGTATAGAGTTCATCGAGTGAGGTAATCAGTTCCCTATCAAGCTTCTCTTGAGCCTCACTAGGTAAACCAACTACTATTAGGTTAATGCGAGATATTTCGCTGCCGTTAGGTTCAACGTCAAGACATAGCTTTTCCTTTGCCAGCGCATAGTCAACTAAAGACCCGCCTAAAAATTTAAAATTAAAAGCCTTTTTAACGATGGACCAACCCTTATCAACAAAAACATTTAAAAAAGAATCCTTCCAACTTGTCCAAGAAGCAAATAGCCCTATTTTCCTTATAATAGTATCATACCAGTCTTTTGCTGGTCCAATTAAATAAAAATTTAAAGCCTGAATCTTAAGACTATCCGTGATTATCTGGTTTCGGTTACACTCTTCTTCAAATCTATGCAACCACTCTGTGGGGTTGTTTTGTTTCCTATCGAATTTTTCTAATACAAATTTTTTTTCGATTTGTTGCAATTCTATGCCATCAGGAGTAGCGTTCAATTTTAGCTGACGCTCTAAACGTTTAATTCGATCTTCTAATTCTAGTTGTGAAGGTTCAACAACCCGAGACCCCGTCGGAGCTAAAGGAACATATTCTTCTAAGGGTAATTCTTTGAAACACACATTATTCGAGTCATCAAAATATGTGTTGCGAATTTCGTCATCCATTTTAATAGCTATAGTTCTATAACCGTTTATGTCTTTAATTGCGGTTGTTGCGTTAATTATAGGTTTCTTACTTGACAACACTGTGTGGAGTTTTAGGTCCTTGTGTTCATTTGGTAATAAATACCAAATTTTTTTATCCGTAGAAATATTCTGGATCGTAAAATCCTTGTCACCTTTCTTCACAACTTGAACGAAAATCTGGTTCATCTTCTTGTTTATTGGAATCTTGTAATTTAATTTCTAAGATTGTTTTATACGTGATTTTATTCTGAATAAAAGAATTAAATTACACGTTCTTTCTCAACCAAACAAGAGTTCTTGACACAAATAAAACATTAAAAAATAACATAAACACAGTCAACTTGACCAAATCAAAATGAAGTTAAATCTATGATTATTTATATTAAGCTTAACAACTATCCCCAAGGTAGCAGTACTAACCAGAGGTTACATATATATAATGTAATTTCGAAAACCAGAATTTAAAATTTACTATAAATAAAAAATGGGTATACGTTTTAGTATTTCATTTGTAAAACGTAATTCAAAAGGTCTTATATTAATGCATTCAAAGTAATTGAATTCCGAGGTCAAACTCCCAAGGAACTCCTCTAAATATGGTAGTCAGGATTTGCCAAAGGTAAGCAAAGAAAAATGGAAATATAATCTGGGTAGTTGAGTGCGGGCGAAGAATCCTTGAAGAATTTGAAGGCGTCAGGGATGGCGTAGGAACAAATGCTCCTGATGATTGCGTTAAATCATACGGGCATACGTCTATCTAAAACGGTCGAGATTTTCAAAGAGAGGCGAGAGAGTGATTCACAATGTTTTGTTGTGACCATGTTGTGACGTACTAATATCCAACGAAAATAATTAGTCCGGCTGTCGGGGGGGCTACAGCCCCCATATCCCTCCCTTGGATTCGCCACTGCTTATCATGAGTGACAATATTGGAAAAAAACTATGGAATAGCTCTCATAGCTCATTAATTTAATGCATATAATTCCAACACAAAAATTTTGTTGGACTGTAACGTATTTTATTAAAAAGTAAGTTGTTTACCCAAGAAACAATTATACTTTCCAAATTAGTATAATAATTATATTAAACATAATAATTCTCTTATACATAGTTATGTTAGAAATATTTGTCATACTGTTTTGTATTTTTACTAGCATATTGCGAGTTGATAGTTGAATATTGTCAATCACAGCTCCATCTGTAGGAATATAAAATGAAACGAGTAAACGTTACGCAGTTGGTTTCTTGACTGTCTGGCATGTTGCCCTGGGCCAGCTGGGTCTTCAGTTATTTTTATGACGCAGAATAGGACTCTCACATCGAAGCAATGCGCTGTTGCCAAATTTCTCAGCATGGCTTGTATTAGAGACGGCTGTGACAAAAATTAAATGATATCAATCCGTCTGTTCAATAACGCGGATAATCCCTGACCGTTTAGACGCGGGAATTGAAAGTCGGAAGCGGCAACTTATATACGTGACCAATCGCATAGCTGTATGGACGACTGGTTCTGTAACGCGGAGACAAGTAATGTACAAATACGCTAACGGTTGACCATAATAGGGATGAAAATCGTTATATGGTCCAAACTCCCAAAACATAAATGTTTTACATTGTAAATCGTCTAGCGGACTATAGATCTCGTCTACCTACATCTTATAAACAAGACTTTTGAAGTGAAACTTCTTTACACACGGTAGGGTAAGTTCGTTTAATGCGAGTGGCTATGTAACGAAATCATGCAACGCATTTCCCCGGCTGCCTGTCCCTATGTATGCTTAGATCTTTAAAAGTACGCAACGAATTTTAATGCGGTTTTTTTTTTTAATAGATACAGTAATTCAAGAGGAAGGTTTATATGTATAATACATGCATAATATAATAGAGAAACAATGATAATTTTAGAGGTTTGTAATGTGATGTCGTAAATAAGCACATTTTTTTGCGCTTACATTGCAAACGCTGGCTGAACCCTACGAGATAGATCAAAATAATGTACTACAGTATTGTACACCTTAAAAAGGTCTACAAAAAAGTCCGCGATGGTATATGNATTTCAAAATTGTTCTAGAACATTATCATAAAGAAAAAAAATAATTTCGGTAAAAAATGCCCGTTTTTAATGGTTATTATAAAGATTATGAGCTGTTATTTTTTCCGAGTATAGCCCTTATATACCTTCATAACGTGTATAAATTTCAATTAAATCGATTGAGCCGTTTTCGAGATAAAAATTATTTTCTGATTTTTCGTTTTTTTGAATTTACTCAAAAACCAAAATAGATAGGTCTAAAATTTTCAAAATTAATGTACCTCATTAGTATCAATGTCCCCTAAAAAAATTATCCAGATATTCCTCTGGGGCCGATTCACTATGCTTATCGTCCTATGGCCTTTAGTGTGATTATTTACCATAATAAAAACTTTTCTTTAGCCAAGTTTGGAAGTCTTAGGAGTAATCCAAGTACCTATATGAAAAGAAATCCGCAAGTTAATATATATCTTTACGCTTTTTTTTTTAATTTTTACATTTTTGTAATGAAAAAAAAACGAGATTTATTCTATTTCTTTAATAAAAAGTCAAGCCCACGATTTCACGTGCTTGTATAGTGAAACTATCTTTCCTTATGACTTTTGAAAATGATTCCAACAAAAATCTAGCATATAGCCTTTTCATCCAAATAGATTCGTTTTCAAGCAAACAGCGCCTAGACCGTCATTGCGCAAAAAAAAAAATAGATGATACCTCTTTATTTTCCAAGAATGGATTAACTAAATCCAAGTGTTATTAATTTAGTTTACATTCCTCGTAAGTATATAAGGTACATTGTCAATTCGGTTGAATTCAAGATTCTTGTGTAACTAAGACACTAAGTACTGCCCTAACTCGATATATAAACATCTTTATTTTCTGTTTCTTTATATTGTAGCGAGCACGAGCGTGATTGTGTGTGCTCCGGCACACGTGTGCGTGGACGGCTTATCGATTCGCCGACTAGCCGCGGGCACCTTTCTTCATGTGCGCCGTATTTGTAAATGTGTGTGTCGTACCTGCGTTCTGGGAAAGTAGTTAAACAGTTCAAAGAGAAACTAGACGATCCGGATGTTTCTAGAGGGTTCCAGAAAGGAAACAAAAGAGTATTTAAAGGAAGAGACGATCGCCGAGAAGAAGTAGAAGTAAATTGACCGTTGCAGAAGTGAATCGAGAAATAAATTGACAGCGATAGCAGTGAAATAAATAGCGCAGTGAATAGTGATATATCAACAGTAAATAAATAGAATAATTCATAACTTAAGTTTAGTAATAATTTAATAGTGTTTTTAAGTTCTTTAATAATTAGTGTAAATAAATAGTTTTTGTCAGTCTTAGAAGTTAATTTTGTTAAACCCACGAACTTTACAGTATTCAGAAACACATTTCCTTTAGGTTTAACTATTGCATTTCTATTATCTCTCTATTTAAAAAGTCCTACCCCATAATTCTTGGTTGTAGGGCGTAGTTTATAATGTATTTCCTATTTTATAAATGAGTTCAATGTGCTGGTATTAACTTTAGTCGTTACGTGAATTGGTTCATGTACAGATTATGCCAGTGACTCAAACACAATCTACCAGTAATTTTACACTATATTTAAAATAGTTACAATCTTAATTACTACTCAATTTGTAACATGTACTTCCAATTTTACTAATGTTCGAACCTTTTTTTTTTTAATTATAATGAGACTTTTATTACTGTTACATACATACGTGTAAGCTTTTATTATTAAAACATATAATAGGAAAACAATACAATAACTCCATTTAACGGAGCACACTAGCTAACTCCATTTTGCAATGAAAAGGAAAAGCAAGGACAAACTCGATTACATATGACTTTCGAAAGGAGGAATTAACAATGATAGTTTGAAAAGTAAAAGAAGATCGATTGTCGGAAAAGATAAAATTTTAATTGTTTAGTTAAGTAGGTATCCATAATAGGTATTAGCTGATAGGAATTACTGGTATCTACATACAAACGAAACTAGTTCCGTAGGTAATTAACAAAATGCAAGGTTGACGTACATATTTCTCTTTCTCTAAGAGAATAATTGGTTTCTTATTGGGTCAACAGATTTTTATGTATTAACTTCAATTTGGTTATTATTATTTATTTGAAAAACTTCCATTTAAAATGCAAAAACAAAATAAAAAATACCTATTTTTATCTTGCATTTAAATACTTTTTTGAGAAAAGCATTTTGTANGGCATAAATTCCGTTTGACAGTTTGAAGAATAGGGATGAGGTCAAAGAATGCACATATGCTTTGTGACAGTTCTCGAACGAGTGGCGTTGGGTGTTGTCTAGAAACATACCGCATTCGCCGCGTCGAATGGCGTGTTTACCCCCACCGTGGGCAACACACCGACCTGGAACGTCTGGATCAGGTGGCGTGTGCACGCATGGCGTCGCGTCGGGTGTTCATAGTGTGATTCTGGTCTATAGCAATCTTAATTACTACTCAATTTGTAACATGTACTTCCAATTTTACTAATGTTCGAACCTTTTTTTTTTTAATTATAATGAGACTTTTATTACTGTTACATACATACGTGTAAGCTTTTATTATTAAAACATATAATAGGAAAACAATACAATAACTCCATTTAACGGAGCACACTAGCTAACTCCATTTTGCAATGAAAAGGAAAAGCAAGGACAAACTCGATTACATATGACTTTCGAAAGGAGGAATTAACAATGATAGTTTGAAAAGTAAAAGAAGATCGATTGTCGGAAAAGATAAAATTTTAATTGTTTAGTTAAGTAGGTATCCATAATAGGTATTAGCTGATAGGAATTACTGGTATCTACATACAAACGAAACTAGTTCCGTAGGTAATTAACAAAATGCAAGGTTGACGTACATATTTCTCTTTCTCTAAGAGAATAATTGGTTTCTTATTGGGTCAACAGATTTTTATGTATTAACTTCAATTTGGTTATTATTATTTATTTGAAAAACTTCCATTTAAAATGCAAAAACAAAATAAAAAATACCTATTTTTATCTTGCATTTAAATACTTTTTTGAGAAAAGCATTTTGTATATTATTTAAAATAATTTTCCATTTGTAAAAGTTAAAAGTTTTGCTAGTATCACCGATCAAACATTATATAAAATGATGAATGAAAGTTGCTCACAGTGACCATAGAAGTTATTAGAAGCTTAAAAAGGGTACAAAGAGGCGTTCCATGAATGCCTTCTAAATCTTCAACAAAGAGAGCCCAAAAAATTCTAAACTCCTTGGAAATGGATAACCTAAAATATTGGATCGATATTGTTTTCCAGGTTCAGTGTCATAGTCCATGGAATTTTGAAGTTCTAGATTGATATCAGCACCTGACCTGTCAAATCACCAATTAAAATACCTATAAAGGGAACTACG